CCGGGGGGGGGGGGACCCGCGGGGGGGCCGCCTGCCACTCGCCCCGCCTGCCCCCACACTACCGAGCTATGAAGAGCATCTGGAAGGCGGCTGGGCGGCCCGTCTTCGGCGAGCGGAGGATGCCAGGTGGGTGCTCCCCGGGGACGGGTGGGTGGGCTTGACAGGGTGGCTGGGCGTGGGATGCTGGGGGAGCACTGGTGCTGCACGGCCACCCAGGATCCCTTGACAATGTCTTTCTCTTCCTCTAGACCTGGTGAAGCTGCCCCCCAGGAAGCGCAGGTCAGCCCTTGCCACCCGCTCTCCATCATCACCAGAGCCGCCAGGTACCCATGGGCTCAGGCAGCCGGAGTGGGTCTTGTACCGGCTGTAGGGTGGCAGGGACCCCTCATCTCCCGGTTATTGAAGCTCTTTTCTGCACCCCCTCACCCTCCTTCTGCAGAGCACGATGTTGGTGGGGATGCCCCGGGAGTGTTGCTGTCCCCACTACTGCAGTGTGTGAAGGACGAGCCAGAGATCTGTAAGTACTGGTCTGCCCCGCTGCACCGGGCTGCACAGCCACGGCTCCAGCCCAAGCCCTGCCAGCATGATGGGAATGGGGGGCTTAGAGGGTCAGGGGACCCGTCACAAGTCCCTCAACAGGGATGCTTGCCAATGGGGGTGTTGCGACTTCTCTCTCCAGAAGCTTTGGCTCCAAACCAGCCCCAGAACGTGAGGGGATGGAGATGGCTGGGATGGGGCAGGAGGGTTCCCCGGCTATGGCCAGCCTGAGGGCGTGGCAAGGCTGCTTGCTGCCCCGGAGCAAGTCATGGCGCTCAAGGTCTCTAAGGGACAGTGGCCCCGATCCAGCCCAGGGGGCTCTTGCGGCTCTGCGGCACTGCAGGGCATGTGACTCCCCTTCCTTCGGCAGGTCCTGGCTCCCCCCCTTCCCCAGTAACACCATAAAGCTTCGGATGAGTTAGGACTGGATGTGAGGGCCAGAGGTGCCTGCAGCTCCCCTGCCCTGCAGCGCACCCAGGGGCGGATCCTGCGCCCCCCTCGCTGTGCGCACACCCAGGGGTTTGGCACTGAGGTGATGCAGGATATGTTCCTGGGTCTGATTTGTGTGGGCGCCCCGGCCAGCATCCGCACTGGGTAATTACCTTCTGTCTCCCTAAATTCCCCCTGCAGTTTCAAGTGGATGTGGGATTCTCCTTCACTTCCAGTCCTAATCTGTTGTGTAGCGTTGCTGCGCGCTGCTACGCCGCTGCTGCCTTCCAGCCCAGAGGTGGCTGCATTGCAGTGGTGGGTGAGTGACTCCTGCTTTTGTATCTAGCTTGTGAAACGCTTTGGGGCCCTGCAGGGCACTGTGGAGCTGTGGCTAGGGCATGTCGGGCTGCGGGGCTGGCCGGGGCAAGCCAGGCAGACCCCGGGCTGGTGGTGATCCTCCAGCAGGTCCCGTCAGACAGCGCATCTCTCCTCTCTGCTCTCTCCCAGCAGCCTGTGGGGACCACATCGCTGGAGTGCCGCCGGCTGCCCCCGCTGTGCCACGTAAGGCTTTCCTTGCCCCGCTCGGCCCAGTAAAACCCCTCAGCCCCATGAGCAGGGTCTGATATGGTTCTCATTGCAGACGCTGGACGCTGCTTCCCTTCCCTTCCCCTCCTGGGTGAGTACTGTGAGCAGGCGGCTGTGCTTGTGCACCCCGGGGCAGGAGGCAGCCGCAGCTCACAGGCTGTGTCTGCTCTCTTTCCAGGCTGTCACACCGCCCTGAAGCAGGAAAGAGCTGAGCAAAAGGCTGGTAAGGGTCTGCAGCTTCGAGCAAGTCCCCCTGCTTGGGGGGCAGCTCTGTCCTGTCCTGCCTGTGGGGACAGAGGGCAGAGGCTCCCGCAGGCAGTGCCTGCCCAGGGCTCTGCAGCAGGGTCAGGCTGAGCATGGGGCCTGGGTGGCTCCAGCACCCTGGTTGCTCCCTCCATGCCAAACCATCGTGGCAGGTTTTCCTGGTGAGATGTCCCTGGGGATGGGAAGAGGAAACAGAGTGCTGCCAGTGGCCACCGCAGCCCTGGCCTCCCCTGGGATGGCTGCCATGGGTGAGCAGCCAGCAGCAGGTGAAGAGGCATCAGATGCAAGCTTGCATGGTGGGTCCTCCCTGCAGCATCCTGACAGCCTCACAGGGGGCTCTCGGAGCCATAGTGAGGGTTTGCCGCCACTGACCCCCCTATCGCTGCAGGCTCCGGCGTGGCAGGCTTGCTCCAGAGCGTCCAGCAGCTGCTGGTGCAGATCCTGCAGACGTCGCGGCAGCAGCAGGCGCTGCTGGAGAGCCTGGCCAGCGACACCGTCTCCCACCTCCACCTCCTCTCCCACAGCCTGGTGCAGGTGGGCGAGACCCTGCACCAGCTCCTGCTCCGGCCGCAGACCCAGTGCGCCGGGAGGGCCTGGCCAGCACCCCCGTCCCCCACCTCCCCCTCCTCTCCCACAGCCTGGTGCAGGTGGGCGAGACCCTGCACCAGCTCCTGCTCCGGCCGCAGACCCACCCCAGCCCCCTTGGCCACTATGTCCCCCACATGCCCTTTTTCGAGGGCAGCCCCGGGGTGCCCTGTTCCCCTGGCTCTCCCCACACCTCCCCAGAGCACAAAGAGGAGCCTCGGGTGTCCCCTGCCACCGGCTGCACCCCGCCATGAGTGCCACCATCCCTGGCCCCAGGGGTGACAGCTTTGCTGCACAGCCACGGCACAAATCTTTATAGCAGACTCCCGGATATTTTGGAATTTTATAGAATTTTAATAAAATTAAAAATAGCTTTTGTACCAGCGACGGCAATCGACCGATTCTTTCCCCCTCTCTGGGGGACATTCCCCTTCTCACTTTCGAAATGAGCAGAAGGGGAACTCAGCTATTTACAGCCTCCGAGAAACTCCCAGGCCACACACCATGGGGCAGATGTATTTTCTCTGCCCCTGCCCACTCCCTGATGGCTTCCAGCTGCGCCTGGGGCTGGTAGGACCCCAGCCCAGAGGACCTGCCGCCAGGCTGCGGAGGGGAGAAGGGCTGCCACTGGGGCTGGGGAATGCAGGCAGCCCAGCCAGGGCAACAACTGCATCCTTCTGCAAGGGAAGGGGCCGGGGTGGGCAATGCGGGGTGGCACTGGGGCTGGGGAGGCAGCGCATGCTGTGGCCATAGCCCCTCGGTCCCCAAGTCCTCGGCAGATCACTTCCAACAGGCAAGCTGCGGCTGTCGCAG